CTAATGTGGAAGAAATAACTGTATTGCAAAGCTCATAGAACTCATAAAGGTTATAGACCACGATAGACAATTTGCCCATGAAAGTTAGAATGTGTTTGTGACTTTAACTAAGCATCACTATCCCACAATACTGTGAAAGTTGGGAAATTATGTAACCACTTAATCACAATAAAGAATTTAAAAAAAAAAAAAGCACTCCGGAAAGCCTGGGAAAGGCTCACCTCCATTACCCTCGGCTACTCAGCACGCTGAGATCTGGAGAACTGTGGTTTTCAAATCATCAGATAGACTCCATCTTCCAAATAATCAGCAAACATTTGGCAGGTAGCCTGGCTCAAGTGGCAGAAAACTAGCCAAGAGGAAGATAGCAGAGGGAGTGTGAGACCATGAGTTGAAATGCTGGTATTAGGAAAAGAAGAACATAAATTTCCAGTTCTCCTCCATGGCATCATTCCAATTGTTCCAAAACCCTGAAAATATGGAGTCCAAACAACACTTCCTCCAAAAATGTGGTGTGAGCTGTTACTAACTAACATTGGGTGCCACAGCAGTATGCATAACCTGTAGAGAAGACTTGACAATCTCACTGTACATTTTCAACCTTTGAATCCATGATGATAAAGTTTTCACAAAAATACCTTGGACATTGCCACTTGTACAAACCTACCATGGAAGAGCACAATGTTTCCTGTGACTTTCCAATACATACATACATACATATATATATATATATATATATATACACACACACACACACTACATATACACACGCACAAACAAAATGGATCCTGTGTACACATCAGACTAGACACATACATTAGTGTTTCATAATAAAGACAATGATGGCATTCACACCCTTTGATCTCTGAGTAGCACTCTCTGGGGAGGTTGTGTGGTTTAGTGGAAAGTACCATGTCATTAGCACTAAAACCAATGGTTCTAGTTATGGATTCTGGGGCATGGCTGGGTGGGGGAAGGTTAGGGGGAACTATTTCTTTTGGACCAGCTTATGTGTCTTAAGGTTTAGGATGATAAACCTTCTCTGCTTATTTCAGAGATTTTTCTGGAGAACAAATGAGATAAAATAACCAGGTGCCTGATTGTCTGTGGATGGCTCTACCACCAAGCTCCATCAGGCTTTGTTATAGCTAGGACTGGAGAGCAGTAGTGAAAGGTCAACTCTGCTGTTCCTCTCCTTACCTTCCCAGCATAGACAGGTTCTGAGACCCATGGTCAATGAACTGTCCATCTTTCACTGGGGATTCTCTGGGGATAACAAGGACATTTCCCCCAGATGGTTGTTCTGTGGCTTAAATGAAATCATGTGAGTCTGACGAATAACACAACCTTTATCATTGTATTTTATCATCATTATTAAGCACCAAGTAATCTTTTGATTCTACAGCGTGGCTTTTCAGCCAAGTCTCATTTCCTGTTCACTTGGCCCCCAGCTCTTCTTTCTTAAGTTACAAGTGCAGCCTCTCCCTGTCTCTCTTTTCCTCTTCAAGAAATTTCCAAAACGTCAAGCTGTTTTATTTATCTGTTCTTAACAATTTCAGCCATCACTCCCCACCTATAAATGATCCTCCCTGTCAAACTCCGGAGTCTTGCCTATTAATAAAACATTAACACAGCGATTTTTTTATTGTTGTTGTTGTTCCAGGTTGTCTCTGATAGGATAACACATGGCCAAATCAAATGAAATACGATTATTTTGCAAAACAATTTTTCTTCTGGAATCTTCTGTTACACTAAACTCCCTATTTTCTACAGAATCCAATTTTCCCGACTCCACATTCATTCTGAGCTTTGACTTTGTCTGTGGTGAGATCTATAAATCCTCCCTGTCTATGGCTGTCTCCCACACAGGGAAGGATTAGCCCATGTGCTCATCTGCCAAGAGTCCTGGTGATACCCTTTCCTTCCCTCCTGCCTACACATTCCAGGCTGTGAACTCCTCCATCCAACCATAGCCGGTCCCAAGCAGCCATGTGTCCAGCACTACCTTGGGCATTGTGATGGAGCAAGGAAGGCATCAGCGTTTCTGCCCTGGAGAAACTCACAGTCTAGAAAGAGGGACGGAGCCAAACACTTGTGTGAAAGCAGAATCTGTCTACAAGCAAGCTCCTAAAATGACAGCAAAACCCAAAGCTGGAGGTCAGGACAGTGCCAGGAATCCTAAAAATGCCATCAGGCAAAGCTCTGGGTAAGAAGTGGCAAGCAGAAGGTGTGGATAACAGAGATGTGGCAATGGACTGGAGGAGGAAAGTAGCTCAATAAAGTTGGGAAGCAAGCCAAATGAGCTGTCTTCCTCTACTACTTTAAGGGCCATTCTTCTTGTAAAGTCTACATATGAAATCTCTGATCGTTGATATTTCTAAGACTCTAAAACCTTTCCTAGGGACTTCAAATTACTCAAAAGAATTTCCTAGTTATAGTGGGTGGCTTTCTTTTTTTCTCTCAAACTGACTTATGGACAGGACGATTTAAGGGGGGCGGGAATCTTTAGAAAATATCTGCTGTCCAGATTGTGGAATCTCACAAAAGAAAATTTCTACATAGAGAGCCATGTTCTCTATAGTTGGCATACTACACATACTTTTCTAGACCTTATCCCCAAGACTTTCATTCTTACATGATCAGAAGCTTTGCAAGTACTTACATCAAAAAATACATTTTTTTTTGGGTCTGGTCATGGGGCCTGAACTCTGGGCCTGGGTGCTGTCCCTCAACTCTTCAGCTCAAGGTTAGTGCTCTACCACTTGAGCCACAGCACCACTTAACGGCTTTTTTCTTTTTGCTTATGTGGTGCTGAGGAATTGAACCCAGGGCCTCATGCATGCGAGGCAAACACTCTACCACTGAGCCACCTTCCCAGCCCTCAAAAAATACATTTTGAGAGTCTGGTGTCAGTGGTTCAATGGCTATAATCCTAGCTACTGCAGGGCCTGAGATCTGAGGATCATGGTTCAAAGCCAGCCAGAGTAAGAAAGTCCATGAGATTCTTTTCTTTATTAAGCAGCAAAGACCTAGAAGTGGAGTTGTGGCTCAAGTGGTAGAGCCCTAGCTGTGAGTACAAAAGCACAGGAACAGCACCCAAGGCCCCAAGTTCATGTTCCAGAACCAGAAAACTCCCCCCAAACAAACAAAAGTCTTCTTGAGAGATCTGAAAAAAATTAAACACAGGTTTTAAAAACCTCTCAGTTAACACAATCATCAAAGATTACAAAGAAAAAAAGAAACAAGCACAAAACTTTGCAAGGAAATTAAACATCCCTGGCTATAAAAAATGGTAGAAAAAATGGAAAGAGTGACACTGATCAAGATTTAATGTATACGAAAACTCACATAGTGACTTGGATTTGTTGTACAATTACTTAAAGATAATTTTTTAGAGGGAAAAAACTGGAAGAGATCAAAGAAACTCACCTATAAACTGTAACCCACTGTACATCACCTTTATATTAGCAATTAAAAAAATTAAAAAAGATAAAGATTTTACATGCAGAAATTCTATCAAAAGGATACTCATTTATCAAAAACATAAAGTTTTCCCAGGTCCTCAAAGTGTGGACAACAGAACAATGTAGAACTTTTATAATACAAAACTCCCTTATAAGCAAGCTTCAAGTAGTGTTTAAAATGCACAGGAAGTTCTGGTAAACACAATGCTTAGGGAGAAAGAAAGGGGTTTGGATGAGGTAGAGTATGCTCCATCTACTGATCTACTGGGAGAAGTACTCAAAAAGAGCAAATATGTGAAGAAGGGGAAATAAGCAGATAATGTTTGCATGTGAAAGTTGGGGCATGGTACAGTCACGTTTGCTGTCACTACAAAGTTTGTGTTAACTGCAGAATTGGGGCAAATGGGCACACATGGGCAGGTAAACAGCTGGAAGCAATACTCAGAGATTGAATAGGAATGTGTTGTAAAGGTAAACCTCGGAAGCAAAAGGCTGTTATACCAAAGGCTGTGACACAGAGCCTTCTCTGATCACTAATAATAGCATATAAATGAGGTGCATGCGCATGCACACACACACACATACACACACACACACACACACACACACACACACATTAAAGGCCTCAAGATCTTTCCTATCCAGACTGGCTTCAAACCATGATCCTCAGACTTTAGCCTCCTGAGATCCTAGAAGAGGCAAGAGCCATTGGCACTCTGCTTGTGACTGTTGTTGCTGTTGTATTTGTTGGTCATGGGGCTTGAACTCAGGGTCTGGGCTCTGTCTCTAAGCTCTTTTGCTCAAGGCTAGCACAATATCACTTTGAGTTACAGGGCCACTTCCTGTTTTTGAGTGGTTAATTGCAGATAAGAGTCTCATAGGGACTTTCTGCCTGGGCTGGCTGGTTTCAGATCTGGGCTGGTAATCCTCAGATCTCAACCTCCTGAGTAGCTAGGTTTGCAGGCATGAGCCACTAGTGCAGAGTGAAACTTTGTTTTTTAACCATACAAACTTCACAAAAACAAATTCAAGTAGGAAGGCGAATTGTACCAAATCAGATTGGATTTCTGTAAATCTAAGTATTTTAATAAAGATAATAAACATGTGAAATGATCATCTAAGAAAATTATAAAATATTGAACATTACTACTTAAATATTAGAATATTTCAACACTGAAATTCTTACATGAAATTGTACTAATTAATCTACTTATCGATTTTCACATACAACAAAGTATATAATTTAGAGAACAAATGTAATTCAACTTTTAACACTTTGTAAAATTATCATTACACAATAATTGAGAAAATCCCACAAGTGAAATTTTATTATATAAAGTGGTATACTATAGGGGTTATTTTGGAAGATTTGAAAAAGAAACTTGTACGAGCCTTTGAAAAATTTAAATTCATGAATGATTTTTTCCAATTATTTCAATTTTTTGTGACATAAAGTTAAAAATTATTTTTATTGTCTTTATGTAGTTGTACAAAGGTATTTCAATTCAGCATGCCAATGTATGAATACAATGCATCTTAATCCGTGTCCGATTTATTCCAGAATTCAATAGGATGGATAAGTAATCTAGATCAGAAGGAAAGAGTTTCAGAGGATGATGAAACCTTGTTAATTCTTATAAAGTTAAGATGCTCTGAAATTGATAAGCAGATAAATGTAATCTCTTCAATCAGTTTAACATTCCTAAAAATTGATCCTTGCCAGCAGAAAATATGCCGGGAATAAAATTGGTCCCATGCACCTTCTGCTGTGCCAGTACCTTGACAGGAACAAGTGATTCCACTTAGAGATTTAATTTGTTCATGGCAGGAAGCAATGCAACACATTACCTTTGGCTAAACAATCAATCAAAAACGTTAAATGACAAAGAAGGACTGAAACTGGCAGGAGAATTTTAACTACCCAAGTAAAATATCAAGTCAATCATGTGCCTATGATTTCATCCTCATAAAAATAGGACAGGTGATGCAAAGGTTTACTGAAACTTTCATGAGCCTATAATTGATACTCAGTAGTAGAGTAAATAATATTAAAGACAACTTGCCTTACCAAGAGAACTGTAACACAGGACATTTATATTTGTATTATATTTTATGATATGACTTCACTTTTCATTTGTTCTATGAAGAGAGCGGCAGTGCTTGGACTGGGAAAATGGAGCGGAGAAATAAAAGTTGGAGAAATTGCAAGGGAGAATCAAATGCAGGCCTCGTACACACACGAGAATTCTACCATCTACCCACGCATCCTCAGGAAGCGATCTCAGGTTCCACCTAGAAGTATTATTTAAATCCTAAATGACCAGTTTATATAAACATGTTCAACACATACACATCAAATTCTGATGTAGACACAGTAAAATAATACACGATAAAATAACCACTTTGCACAACGTTTTCAACGTTGGTCAAGATTCAGGGATGTTTTAAGACTTGCAGAGAATAATCACTTGTTTTATATTTCCTGAGGCATCTGTATTCCCTCTGTCCTTTGGCCTCAGCCTCTCTTTCTGGCTTTAAATAGCTTTCCACTATTATAGTTAATTTTGTTTTCCAGCAATTTGAAAAAAAACAAGAATTCTCCCTTCTCTTCATCAATCTTAATGATTCCTTTATGTTCTGTCTGCGAATTAACTTTGAATGTACTCTGAAATTTTGATTTAAGCTAGGCAAATTGTGCATCACTTCTCTTGGATGGAAAAAAAAAGGAATATGGAATGAATGCTATGAAGAGCAAGAACAGAGATTCCTGGTGTGAGGTGTAGGAAGCAGAAAGAAACTAGGAGAAAAGAAAACAAAAGCTCCCCAAAGGGGAAATAATAGAAATATGTATTAAATGATAAAAAATGTATTAAATATTTGCATATCCACATGCCCAAATATCCCCCTCCTTTCTCTCTGTCCACCCTTCTCTTCTTTATGATCGCTGTTTGTTTGTTTGTTTTTTTTACTTCTTAACACTCTTGTATTATTGCTACATCTTATCCTTTTTGAGAAAACAAAACCAAACAAGTCTAGGGTGGTCTGGTTTGTCTCTTAAGACCACAGTCCAAATGTCTCCTCTGGGAGACATTTGTTTTTCTCTACTCTGTCCAGTCCACCTGCCTGATCAGCCTCCTACACTCTTTTGGCTACTACAGCTTCCTATACTGAAGGTAACATATTTGTCTGTGTATTTAGACATGTTATATGAGAATGTAAGCCTCCCGAGGGCAGGACTCCTAGCAGATATATCCACATCGATGACCCTAGTGGCGTGACGAGCCTTGCATGCAATAAAAACGAAGGAAGTAAAGAACAGAACATAGAAACACATTGATCCATAGGACAGTTTTTTATAATCAAGCAAAATAAACACTTTCACATCTGTAGATTAGAGTAAGGGGGAAAAACAGATTCTCAGGAAAGAAAACACATGGAAATGAAAGTTAGGATGTTTTATTCTAGCATCATCAATCCTGGCATCTCTCAGCATGAATTTTACTGTCAAAGGTTTATTCATTCCCAGTAAACAGCAATCTTCCATAGCAAATCCCTTTTATATGGTCTCAAGGTCAGTCTATAATTATGCATTCTCCTATAATTGCACTCTTCAGATATCAAAAGCCTAGATAAAGCTTAAGGAAAGTATACTATATATCAAAATCTAGACAGCCCAAAGATTGCATAACCACATTGAAATTGCTATTACTACTACTACTACTACTTTCAGTCATGAGGCTTGAACTCAGGCCCTGGGTGCTGTCCCTGAGCTCTTTTGCTCAAACCTAGCACACTACCTCTTGAGCCACAGAACCAATATTTGAGTGGTTGATTAAAGATAAGAGTCTCACAGAGACTTTTCTGCCTGGATTGGATTCAAACCATGATCCTCAGAGCTCAGCCTCCTGAGTAGCTAGGATTACAGACATGAGCCACTAGCACCTGGCCGAAGTTTAATACTTGTATATATCCAGTAGAATAAATATATCTTATTAACAATGTTTCTTATGAATTTTTATTTTTCCATGTGTTACTTTTTTCAAAATCATGCTATGCCCATGTTAAAAATCTAAGGGAAACTGATTCAGGGAAAGTTTAATTTCTGATAAAATCTTAACCTCTTTATAAAGGTCTGACAAATTGGGAAAGTATTTACTTATTAACTTTTATGTAATTGTCCTGTTCATTTATCTCATGGTACTGGGCTTTAAATTCAACATCTGGATTGGTTAGAAGTGTTGTACCCCTTGACCCATACCTCTAGCCTTCTGTATTTTTAAGCTATGTTTTTCAGATAGGCTCCCTCTTTGGGGCCCAGGCTGACATTACTGTATGATACTTGCATCTGTGATTCTTTTTTTTTTTTAATTGGGTCTGGTCGTGGGGCCTGAACTCTGGGCCTGGGCACTGTCCCTCAGCTCTTCAGCTCAAGGCTAGTGCTCTACCACTTGAGCCATAGTGCCACTTCCGGCTTTTTTCATTTTGCTTATGTGGTGCTGAGGAATCGAACCCAGGGCCTCAGGCATGCAAGGCAAGCACTCTACCACTGAG